TATGAAAAGTGAATTTACTCTGTAAATCTTCACCCAAATCCTAATAAAAAAAAAAAAAAACTGAAAAAAAAATGAAAAAAAAAAAAAAAAGAGAATGAGATGGCCAGTCCATACAATGCATGGATACTGATTACTTCCTCATTTTGAACATAAGACAAATAAAATATATTAGGGAATTAATGTTATTTTTCATAGGTTGGATCATGATATTTTACTTTATATACCGAATTTCTTTGTTGGTGATTAAAGCTGAAGAATTTTTAGGAGCATTTTATAGTATTTAACAATTATTTCTACAATGTTTTACAACACAAAAAATAGAGAAAGGCATAGAGAGACCACAAACTACAAATAACATGGGGCAAAATATTAACCAGGGATGACTCAAGATTTGGACTATACCAGTATTCATTGCACCACTATTCCAACTTTCCATTTTAATATAGCTCATTCTTTGTGAATAAACTGCCAAGCCTAAAATATAATATTAATAAAGGGTTGATGGAGAAATTTATATTCTTTTATCACCAAAGTAACACAAAAATATTGTTTTCTTGTTGCCAATGTTGCTGCAAGGGTGACCTGACTTTTCAGGAATGGTACACAGTTATTAATCATCTGTGTGTTTTTGGTAAGATGGAAAATGAAATATCAAACATCATAAAAGTGATCTAGCACAAAAGCACTCTTCTTAGTGGAGATTCTGAGTCTCAGAGTGTGAGAGGAATGGGAAGGAGATGACATCTTTACTTGCCTTTTTCCTAGTTAATGGTCAGCTGCTTCACAGGGAGGTCCTCACCCAACTCCCTCAGGACTGTAGTTCCTACAGAGGCCCTCAAGATTCTATCAGTAAGATTGAGTTTGATCTTTAAAGATTTCTTGTTTTTGTAGAAATAAGAAATTATTTCTAGCCAAGAGTGATTTTAAGTATTTCATGCTACTTGAAATGTATGAACATAACTGGTATTTCAGAATCTTATTGTTGAAAATTTACCAAAACACTTCTATACAGAAAAAATCATGAACATATTGTAAGGCCCCAAGATAATTACAAAGTCTTTATAGTCATTGACTTCTATTGCCTTTTTAGCCATCTTTATTTTAAAATAGTATTATTGTGATTCAAATATGATATAGGATAAAAATTTTTAGCAATGAAGATACAGGCAAGTATAAGGGACTTGATAGTATAAAAGAAGTATAAAGGAATAATGTACTTATTCCTATTATCTCTAAAT